ATATAGTTAAATGAAGGAATATATATAATATATATACACACTAAGTATTTATTTTCATTAAAAGACCCCACTAAGAAATTGCAAAAACAACCTGCTGCAGCATAAGAGAAGGTATTTGCTACATATATAATTCACAATAGTTTGCATCCAACGTATAAAGGTCTTTAACTTAAAAAAGAAAATACAGACAAATCAATAGAAAAATGGTCAAAAGACATGACTAGATACATCAAAAATCACTTTGTCAAAGCGGTCTTTAAACACAAGACAAAGTACTCAGCTTCATTAGTCATAAAGGAAATGTAAAGTTAAAATACAATGAAATAGCACTTCACACACACCAGAATGGTTAAAATTAGTCTTTTAATCCCTATGTTCTTTAGGATGTGAAGCAATTACAATTCATGCATGGCTATTAAAAGTATAAGTAGGTACAAGCAATTTACAACTCTTTGTCATTATCTGCTAAATGTAAACACATGCTTATTATATGTAACAGGTATTGCATTCCCATGTTTATACCCGATAGAAATAAGCACAAGTATGCAAAAAAGGGGCCTGGTGCAGTGGCTCAGGCATGTAGTCCTAGTACTTTAAAAGGCCTAGGCAGGAAGATTATTTGAGCTCAGGAGTTCAAGACCATTCTAGGCACCATAAAGAGACCTCATCTCTACAAACAAAAATAAAAAAATCAGCCCGGTGTGGTGGCATGTGCTGGTAGTCCCAGCTACTCAGGAGACTGAGGCAGAGGAATAACCTGAACCCAGGAAGTCAAGGCTGTGGTGGGGTATGATCATGCCACTGTACTACACACTCTAGCATGGATAACAGAGTGAGATACCAATTCAAAAACAATTTGCAAAAGAGACATATACAATGTTGTAAGGAATATTTTTCATAATATACCAAACTTAGAAACAAACCCAAGAACCATTAATAAAAGAAGAAATACTGTAGTTTTTAATTTTTTGAAGCAATGAAAATAAATGAAGAATGGCACAGAAGACAACACAAACGACTTAATAAAAAATGAACAAAACAAACTTCTGAGAAAGTTTTAATAGAAAAGAAAGAAACCAAAACAAACTTATAAAGACAAAGACCATGGTCTTCAAAATGACCATTAATATTTTAATTGTTATGAGAGAAAAATATTAAAACATGAAGAATGCAATGTTATATAAAAAACAAAACAAAATTAAAAACAGAAAACAGAAGAAATATCCAAGAAACAACAAAAAAATGATCATGGATGTTAATAGCTGGCATAAAAACTCAATAGAAGGATTAGAAGATAAAATTGAGTAAGTTTGCCTGAATGGAAAGAGATTAACATTGGGAGAAAAATGTAACAAAGTAAAAAATTTTAAAATCAGCCTTCAAGTTCTGAATTCAAAACAGAGAGAAAATAGAAAGGTGGCATAATTCAAGAAGATTCCAGAAACTGAAAGCCATAACTTTCCATATTGAAAGATTCTCTGGAGGAGAAAGGCAACATGGTGATGGAACGGGTCAGATTGTGAGACTCTCTGCAAAAACGAGTGTCCATAAAGACTGTGTGAGTGGGTGTGTGCCAGTGAGTGAGTGAAAGTCCATCTGAGGGGAGACCGGTTCAAGCACCTGGGTTATCCTCCAGAGGTGACTGCAACCTACCACTGCCCTGAGATTGGAGTCCCCAGCACGCAGGATTGTCTGCCATTCTTGGGGGTCTCTTGGGAGGGGGCAGCAGAGATCAGCTGCTCCTCAGCACCTGGCACCTGGTCCACACCACCACCTGCAGCAGCAGTCTGGGCGCTAGCAGCAGAAACCATGGAGAAGGCTCAGTGAGGAAATCTGGAACTGAGCCCCGCTGCCACCATTTTCTCTGTCCCAGGAAGGACAGAGACCTGAATTGCTCCACCCAGTTCTGTGTAACCTCCAAGCTGAGACCATCCAGAGAGTGGGGAGACAGCCCACAGAATGGGAAAAATATATTTGTCAACTGTGTATCTGACAAAGGCCTAACATCCAGGATCTACAAGGAATTCAAACGTGCTGAAAGGAAAAAAAACAAACAGTCCCATTAAAAAGTGGGCAAAATACATGAATAGACACTTCTCAAAAGAAGATAGGGGCAGTCAACAGACACATGAAAAAGAACTCAGCCTCACTAGTCATCAGAGAAATGCAAATCAAAACCACAATGAGATACCACCTAACCCCAGTAAGAATGGCTAACTAACCTAACTCCAGTAAGAATCGTTGATATAGCAAACAACAATAGATGCTGTCAAGGATGTGGAGAAAAAAGAATGCTTCTACACTGCTGGTGGGAGTGCAAACTAGTGCAACCTCTCTGGAAAACAGTGTGGCAATTTCTGAAAGAACTAGAAATTGACCTTCTGTATGAGCCAGCAATTCCCCTATTGGGAATATGTCCGGAGGATCTCAAATCATTCTATAAAAAAGATATCTGCACACGTATGTTTGTTGCAGCTCTATTCACAAAAGCAAAAACATGGAACCAACCATGTTGCCCATCGAAACTGGACTGGATAAAAAAATGTGGTATATATGCACAATGGAATATTATGCAGCCATAAGGAAGGACAGACATATGGACTTCAGAGCAACTTGAATGGATTTGGAGTCTATCATACTCAGTGATTTATCATAGAAACAAAGAATAGAGTTCCGTATGTTCTCACTTATAAGCAGACCTTGAACAATTATAATACTACAAGAAAGCAACTGGCGGTAATGGGAAACTGTCAGTGGAGGGGGGTGGGATTGGCAGTTGAGGGAAACTGCTAGGGGAGGGAGAGGCAAACCTCATCAACAAGGGTACCTGCATAATCAGTGTTTGTATACCTAACCCTGAATTGTACTCCACATCTTTATAATTTTAAAAAAACTGAACTGGATTTTAAAAATATGGTACATATACACAATGGAATATTACGTAGCCATAAAGAAGGACAAATATATGGACTTCACAGTAACATAGATGGATTTAGAGTCTATGACACTCAGTGATCTATCACAGGAACAAAGAACAGAGTACCACGTGTTCTCACTCATAAACAGACTCTGAACATTTACCATAGCATTATTAAAAAGGGATTGGAAGTAGTGGGATACTGCCTGAGTGGTGTGGGGAGGAACACAACATTAATTAGGGTACCTGATCTCAAACCAAAGTGGAGACCAAAGGGAAGCCCAAACTTTACCTATACGATGACCACTTGCATACCTAATCCTGAATTGTACCCCATATCTTTAAAATAAAGAAATAGGCCGGGCTCAGTGGCTCAGCCTGTAATCCCAGCACATTGGGAGGCCGAGGCGAGTGGATTGCCTGAGCCTGCGGGTTTGAGACCCATTCGGGCAACTTGGTGAGACCTTGTCTCTACAATAAATCAAAAATTAGCCAGGCGTGGTATCGCGCGCCTGTAGTTTTGGCTACTCGGAAGGCTGAGGCAGAAGGATCGCCTGAGCCCAGCAGGTCGAGGCTGTGGTGGCAGGGAGCGTGCCACTGCACACTGCACTCCAGCCTAGGCAACAGAGTAAGACTCCAACTCAAAAATAAATAAATAAATAAATAAATTAATTAATTAATTAATTAAAAAAAAGAAAAAATACATGGAAAATAAACTTTCTGAGTCTTTGCAAAAAAAAAATAAAGAGAAAAGGCTAGCACTGGTTGAGGCAAAAATGTTCACATTACTCACATTTATTAATAACAATATATAGTTTTTACATGTTGATATATTTTAAAACAAAAAATATAAAACTAGAAATAAATCTGTAAATAACTTGTTGAAGCAGATGCTACTGGTGCCTCATCCAATTCCTCTAGAAGATTCTTTGTCACTTTTTTGCCTTCATCCCTCAGCTTCGGCATGTTTGCAGTTAATTTCCCATCTGATGCCTTCAGATGATTATTCTTGGATCTTGAAACCCCCTCAATCCTACAGAGAGCGAAAGTTTCTGGGAGTTTATGCCTCATCCCAAGGAAGCTAGCTAATGGGGACTGGCATGGGAATTCAAAAGCCCAGCTTTTTTGCTTCAAGGCAGGACAAACACAGACATAATTCATGCTCCAGACTTCTCTGTAGGATCAAGCAATACGGAACTGTACCTGCAATCACACCAATGCTTAGTTCCTTCCCTTTTCTTATCCTGTTTCCCCTGTTCTCATACTAATTTATCTGGGAAATCACTTGTAGTGATGTTTTGGCTCAAGATCTGGTATTGGAATAATTCAACATTCTTTTGGTGCATTAAGGGAAAGAAATTAACTAAAAAGTATAATTTACTCATTAGAACATATACTCTTTAAACGTAGGAATTATGACTTGTTTACCCCTATTTATCAGCACCAAACTTGGTGACAGACAATAATAGGAATTCAGCCACCTTAATACAAATGGTCATATCTCATCGTATTAACCATGTGACCAAGTGTTCACAGTTGTCCATTGCTTACCCTCTACTTCACCAAACTGTTGTCAGGCTTCTCTCCTTTCCAGTTCCTGACTCTGTCCCCAAGCTTAAGCAAGCACACACACACACAAATTAACATACCCCCCTTCTCAGCCTCTCCTGGAAATCAGTTGAGCACATTAAGACTCTTTTCCTGTTAGACTCCACTAGTCATTTTCCCCTGCTTGCCCAGTTTTTATATCTCCTTGCCCCTCCTTTAACTTATGAAAGAACTTTTTTTGTTTGATTTTGTGACCCGAGATTTTTTAAATGGGAGCATTCTCCCTATTACAATGGCCTCTTTATCTCCCTTGCAATAATCCTTTTAAAATTAAAGCCTATCCTAAGTCCTGATTTGTTTTCTTTGACAAGTTTTCCACAGGACAGTTGACATATCAAACCTTCCCTGGAAAATAAAATCAATTACTAAAATATATTTATTTATTATTTTAAAAGATTAAAAACACCAAAACAATACTGTTATAGATGAACTTTTTTCTTGCATTAATTGATTTTCTCTATTACGTAGAACTTACTTGCCAAGGTCACACTTTATTTCAGGCATTACAATTGGCTTTGGTAATTCAATAGTTAATCGCAGTAAATACCAGAACTCTTCAGCCATTTCAGGCTGGAAAATAATGCTGGTGGAGAGAAATACACAAAATTTTGTCAGCAGTTTTAGTTTGCATAATAAGTTAGGCAGAAAAAATGTATCCTACATTGGTATAAATAGCTGGTTTCAAATACAATATTTGACAACTCTGTGACACATTCTGCTCTTACTGTTTGGATGTGTTTTTAAATTCTTCATTTTAAAATTCTTCACAATTCAAAAAAACAGTGTTGTTGTAATTAATATCTGTTTAATAAATGCCTGTTGAATCAATGAAAAATGTATAAAAATGAGTATATTAAATGTCTTGCAGGAGTTATAACAGAAAAAGTGTTACTTTTTAACTGTGACTAAGCCAAATTTAGTTGGTTCACTGGAATGCAGGTGTATTTTCATATGAAGATATTCAAGTGACATGCAGTTCTGGAAATTCCTTTTAGAATCATCATGTGCTCACTTCAGGATAAGATAAAGCTAATGGTAGTCTAAAAGTATAACTGACCTGGTATCTCAGCTCTGTAATATTTTATTTAGAGCCTCAATTCCATCATTTATGAAATGGGAGGAATCAATCTTACCTCTTACAGTTGCTGTGAGAATTTTATGTGTTTATTTATGTAAAATACATGCTCCTGCATGATGAACAGAATAGGCAGTCAATAAGCATCAGCTAAGATTATGTTTTTAATGTATGATTACAAAAGAAATTCAAGATTTAGTCCGTGTTCACAAAACCTGTACAGTCTGGGGTGACAAGACCAGTCAATATGTCTAATGGCAATCTATCAAAATAGTGTTTTTTATAATATGCTGTGTTCTTATTTTCATGCTTCATATTATAATATGTATCCTTTAAAATTTCACAGATATATTCATTTATTCATATTTTCCTTAAAATAACAATTACTTGGTTACTATTATAGTATACTGTGCTAGAAGCATCAATAAGAGTTATTCTGAAGGCCATGCTGTTAAGTGAAATAAGCTAGGCACAGAAAGACAAATACCATAAGATCTCATTTACATGTGGAACCTAAAAAAAGTTGAACTCAGAAGCACAGAGTATAATGGTGGTTGTCAAGAGGTAGATGTGGGAGGGAACACAGAGATTGGGGAGAAGTTTGTCAGAGGATATAAAACGTTAGGAGGAAAAAGTTCAAGAGATTTATTATAGAAGATTGTGACTATCATTAATAACAATGTGTGGTATACTTGAAAATTGTTCAGAGAGCAGACTAAGTGTTTTCACCATAATTAACTGATAAGTATGTGAAGTAATGCTTATGTTAATTAGCTTGATTTAGCCATTTTACAATATATATGTATTTTAAATCATCATGTTGTACACCATAAATATATACATTTATTATTTGTCAATTAAAATAAATACAGTAACTTTTTAAAAAGATATATCCTAACTCTGAAATAGCACATGAGCTAGCAAAGGTCATTTTTGTGGAGTATAATAACAAAATGCATTGCATACACCCATACTGTGTCAATTATAGTCTTTAAAATTATAATAAATAAGTTATATATTACATTGAAAGCAAATTAATTGATTATTTTAATAAGTTATTGGGTTGATTATGAATATAAAGTTCAAATGCTTGCATATGCATGTATGTAAATATATAGTGCAAAAAAATGTTTACAATTATCATGCTACAAGAATACTTGACATTGCATTGCTAATATTTCTGTGTGTGTACATGCGTGTATGTTTTCCACACACTAGCACATCCTTTAATTTCTTCTACGTCCTCCAAGTGAATAATTTGCATTTAATTGGGAGTAAAAGATATATAAATTCGTTTTCATAAAAAATTGAAAGTTTAATGGCTAGTTCTCATGGAATCATTTTCATTTGGTTCAGTTTTTTTATTCTTTATAAAAATTTGATTAGTAAAATGAGAAGTGAAAGAGAAAATAACAGGAGAAGTTTAGGAATTATTTAATTTGATATTCCAACAAACAATATTTTTTCACTGAAGCAAACAAAAGTTAACTCTAAATTAGTACATTTTATTCTGGGAATAGTATTAAACAAAGCTAAAACTATGCTCAAGTGTAATTTGAATGATTGTATTATGAAAAAAATAAGTTTTAAAGCTTAATTTCTAAGCATCAACAATGAAATGTAATATCATTCTCAAACCATACCTTTCATCTCTATGGCCTATAGTTGCTGGAGAATACCATACAACATAGTTGATGGATTCTATTGGGTTCAGTACAATTTTGTTGTCTCCACTAAGAGCAGCACTCATTAATTGGACATCTAAGCGAATAATTCTATCTTCTGGATTGGAGAGAGGTATTTCAATGCAGATAGTGTCCTAGAATTAAAGAACAAACATATAACCAGCTTTTAGTGTCAGAATTATTCTATGGAAGGAAGTGTAAGGGAAACTATTGTGTAATATAAGATCATTTGTTTTAGTTTTTCTATTCACTATTGAACGCATTTCATCAGCTTTGAATTTCTTATATATTTTCCTTGAGTAGTCTTGGTCAATGGTAATCTTATTTTCTTTCAATGCAAATTCTACACAGAAATCTATACAACAAAATAAAAGGGAACACTTCTACACTGTTGGTGGGAGTGCAAACTAGTGCAACCTCTGTGGAAAACAGTGTGGCGATTCCTAAAAGCTCTAAATATCGACTTCCCATATGATCCCGCAATTCCCCTATTGGGAATATACCCTGAAGAACTCAAATCACGTTATAAAAAAGATACCTGCACACGAATGTTTATCGCAGCATTGTTCACAATAGCAAGAACCTGGAACCAACCATGCTGTCCATCAAAAGAGGACTAGATTAAAAAAATGTGGTACATATACATGATGGAATACTACGCAGTCATAAAAAAGAACAAAGTTATGAATTTCGCAGCAACCTAGATGGAACTAGAGTCTATAATACTGAGTGATCTCTCACAGAAACAAAGATCCGAGTATCACATGTTCTCACTCATATAGTGGACCTTGAACATCTATCGTAATACTTTAAGAAAAGGATTGATGGTGGGAAACTATGCGGGGGGAGGGAGGGGAAGGGAGGTGGGATTAACAGTAGTCAATATCTGTCTGGGGACAGGGAGACACCCCTTATCAACAAGGGTGCCTGAGCGATGCATATTTGTATACCTAACCCTTAACTGTACCCCACAATTTTAAAATAAAAAAATATTGATTTAAAATAAAATAAAATAAAAAAGAAAATTTCTTTGTAAAATTACATTGAAAATATATTTTTCACCAGTACTGCTATTACTATGAGGTTCATTTTGCAGTGTGTCCTCTAGTAATGTGTTCAAACTATGACACATAAGAATCCTCTGCAGAGTCTGCTGAATCATAGATTCCTGTTCTCTTCTTTTTCACACCGCACCCCTCCACCCTAGAGATTCAGTAGGTCTGGGATGGGGTGTGACATTTACACTTCTAAGAAGTTCCTGCATGATACTGCTATTGATGCTGCTGACTCAGAGGACACACTTCAAGTAGCACTGTACATTAGCTTCAAGTAGTAGAAACAACGTAAACTAGTAAGTCAAATTATGTTGAGGATACATCTATCTTTCTGTTTCAACTTCTTCCTTATCCTTTTGTTTCTCCTGTCTTACCCCACAAATTACATCCACTGAGCCCTGGAAGGCATTCTTCAAGTTTCAAGTAATGTCTTGATCTTGATCCTGACCCTTCTTGGCTAGTGACTTATATTTCATCTCATTACAACCATGTCCTTCACTACATCAAAACCTATAATTGAAGTTAATGTAGTCAAGATCATTAGTAGGACATATTTAAATTTTAACAAATATCAGTTGCCTAAATGCCTTAACCTAAAGAAGTGTAGAAGGTTGGACATTTCAGTCTTCAATCAAAATGTGGCAATGGGTATGCTTTAAGACATGGAGCTATTTTGAAATCTATCAGATCATATTCCAGGGATGACAAAACTGATAGCAAGCTGGTGGGGTGTATCTGCAAGACAGACATTACAGCTTTATCCATGACTGTTTTAGAGGACCTAGTTCATAGAGCATTTACTTGATCACCTCTAATAAACAAATGATAGACAGATGCTATATTTTAGAGAAATGGAAATAGTATTTAGTGTGATGAACAACACCTGGTGAGGAAAGATGGAAATCAAGGATATATACAAGTTAACAATTATATTAGAGCAAATATTGTTTATTAGAATTCAGTTTTAATTATAAATGCAATGAAAAACAGTTATCTACCATAGGTTTAGGAGATATTAGAATCATGAATTCTTAAAATAAATGGGCATTTAAATATTCAATACTCATAATTATAAAGAAGGGGGAAATGTAAAATACTGAACAATGACTGATTTCCTAGGCAACCTGGCATATTTTATAGTTAGTATAGGACTTGGCCTCCAAAGAAGTTTCCAAGAGTCAAACATATCAACAACTAAAAGCAAAAGAAACACCAGAATAACAAATAGTATCAATCACATATTAGCTTTCAAACTTTTCCCAGAATTTAAGGCAGAAAATAGAAATGAGACATTTTGGCCTAGACATTTGTCCTGGTCTACCAGTCAGCTAATTTTTCAGAGAAGGTAATTGTCAGTTCAATAAAATTCTACAACTTCACAGATGTAAAAATGCTAGAATCTCAATCATTAATTTTCAACAAGTTTTAATCATGACCCAGAATAATTAATTTTACATCACAATCTAGTTCACCTACACACATCACAAAAGTTTCAAAAATAATCCCTGCTCTTATTATATGGGATGGTCTCTGAAACTTTTTGTTATCTTCTATTTCTTTAAAAGGTACTAACTTTGACCAACTCATATGTTAAGATCTACACATTTAACATTTTGATTTTGGTCTAAAGAGGAATAAAATACTGTATATAAATATGACAGCTTTAGGTCTTACCATGACATATAAGCCTGAGACACCAAATAAAACAAAATCACATTAAACCTACATTTTCTGTGAACTACAACCTATCTTACAGGGGCACGCCTTCGGGTTACAAAGGCATCATTAACATTCTATGGTTGGCTGAAATGTAAGAGTAGTAAGTGAGGATGGCAGTTATGGAGTACTTAAGTCACAGCTTCTCCTTGGATCCTCACATGTGTGGCAAATATCATTAACTGATCACTTTACTCTTATCCAAACACATTCTCGAAATTCTTCACAGAGCAGCCTTCCAGGCAGCAATTGTCAGATGCTTAGAGCTACCAGCACTGCAATCTTTTAAAAATTCGTGGAATCTAATTCTTTGGAGTCTTGAAAATAGCAAGAATTAATAGAAATGAATGTTTCACTATAGTCAACAGCTTTAAATATTCAATTAACTGTGCTATATGTTTAGCATGGTAGAAAATATTTCAAATTGAACTACAGTGTTACAAAAATAATTTCCAAATTGCATTATAGTTTAAATATAATTTTCTTCTAGGTTTAAATACAAAAAAATACTAAAATGACATTTGAAAAATTATGGCATTATATGGATAATTTATATTTTAAATATTCACTTGCCAACATATTGCTAAAATAATTTAGGCAGGCAACCCTTTTGGGTCCCCTCCCACTGTGGGAGCTTTTCTGTCAGCTCAGTAAATCCTGCTTTCTAAAAATAATAATAGTAATAATTTTTAAAATGCCAATATTTCCTAAGATTATAAAGTTAAAGTTTTAAAAGTATTTGATATATTTAGTAAGTTAAAGAGAAAACATTTTTGTCTCTCCTCATTTTATGGGATAATCAAAATTTGTTTATTCTAGAAATACCTTCCTTATGTTATCTGTATAATTTCAGAAATGCATAACCATTTTGAGAAGATAACATACAAAATATAACAGATAAAAAAGCTCCATCTACAAAATGATTGTTTTGGCTAAGGTATTCTACCACCTCCCATTTCATTTTGCGATAAATGACTTGTACTCAATTAGAAGTACAAAGACAGTTGAATTTCTATGAATACTTTATCTATCAAAAAGTTTGAAATATTTGGCTAATATCTGTCTTGCAAATGTCATATTACTCCACTTTAATGAGCAGGGTTTTAAGGTTAATTTGTGTTTAGAATTAAACATAAATCAGTTTGAATGATTGGGTTTTTTTGAAACTCAAGCAAAATAGTAATGACAGCACATGATGCCTTCTAAAGGTGTTTTTCATCTTCGCATGAGCTCTTTTAGGTTCAACACTGGAGAGCATTTCTTTATAAAGTAGCCAATATTTTCATCTTGCTTGTTCTTAAGAAATATTGTAGCCAAAATAATGGATGTTAAAAAATTACTTCCATTTCGGAAACTCCTTTGTAAAAGGCCTAAATTATGAATATTTAATCCTGTGAAATATTAAGTCAAAATTTTAAAATAGAAAAGACATTCACAAGATGCTGGAATTTAAAATAATGAAAAATGTAAATATTCATCAAAGAGTGGGACTCTATTTTAAATGTGTTCACACAGGTATACTGAATTTTGTGAGTTATAAACCTATTCAGATGAAATGTAAATACCTATATACATTTTAAAATGAATGTAGGATGTTTTCAGCATTTATATATAATTCACATATTTGTTTTTTTACAATGGAAGGAACATTTTGAGAGGTTCAAAAACATAAATTAAATCAGATCATTCATTTTCTTTTTTGCATACTTTATTGGCTAAATGTACATGAATTAAAATCTCTCCTCTTGCTCTTTGAGGCTTTATAAACCTGGCCCTGCCAACACCTCTGATCACAAGTAACTTCCCACCCACTCAACCCTTCCTGTCCTAGCTCCAGCATCCTAAGACTCCTCTCTGCTCCTGGACTGCCTGGGCTCCTTCCTGTTAGGTCCCTTCCCACCAAGCTCATCTTGTTTCCAGGGCTTATGCACTTGTTAGGCTCTCTTGCTTGTACTTGAGAAATATTGTAGCCAACACAATGACTGTTTAAAGAAATTGCTGGGTGCACTGCCACAGTCCTCAAGCCACCCTTAGTGTCACTCTGGATTATTTTTGTTCATAAAATTATCAATGTCTAAATTTATCTCGGTCATTTATTGCCACGGTAACAGGTATACCAGCCGGGCTAAACTTGGTAGAGTACAATTCAAAACATCTCTTTCTCCCACTACTGCTGTCCAAACCAGTGAAGAAACTTTTCTCCACCCTCTGCTGTTCTCTCAGGATAGTTTCTCATGCCAGAAGAGTCTCTACAGAAATCCCAAATCAATCAACACTTTGTTCTCACATTCAATTGAAGGCTTTTCTAGATCTTCCCTTTCTGGCACCCCAACCTCACCCTCAGGTCTAACTAGGAATTTCGC